AGGGTGTTCACCAGTGTTCTCCATTTTGGCTGGGCCTGGACCTCCATATTTCCTCAGAGCTGTCTGACCCTTGGGATCTTTGCTCTACTGTCAGCATCACAGAAGCTGTTCCCTGCAAGTGCTCCAGAGTCTCTCCCTGCTAATGCAGAGTGTAGCAATTAGCCAAGGCCCCAAAGGATTTTTTCATGCAGATTTTGGGGACTACTTCTTCTCTGTGGCTCCCTCATTTCCAGACCCCTAACGCCTCAAATCATAGCTGCCTTAGCAGCCTTGAAGTCTGAGCTCTATTTCTTTCATCTAGTGTGACCACCAGTGCTAAGAGATTTTGATGCCCAGCATTTTGGAAAATACACTCAAGAATAAAGATAAAGTGAACTGTGGGATTCATTCACTGTGATTCTCTTCTCAAGGACCATTACCCTCTGTTAGTTGCTGTCTAGTGCCCTCCTAGAGATGCTTTACATACTCTGTCCAGGTCCTATAGTTGTTTTCAGTGGTCAGATTAGTCTGATGCCACCTACTCTATCACAGTTGGAACCTCCCTTTCCTAGATTCAATGAGATGGGGGAGAAAATGAGGCCTATATGGTTAAAAATACAAATTTATTCAAACTCATCTACGTTACTGCTTGGTCTCTGAGTGTGTCATTAGGATGTAAAATGAATCCTTTCTCTGTCATAATAATTGAGGCTTCAGCCCTTATTGAGTACCCTAAATGGACCAAGGCTTTATTCTAAAGTGCTTTATACGTCTAATTGATGTCACCTTCCCATATGTACTACTATCATTCCCACCTTATAGCTGCAGAAATGGAATGATGTTGAGGCTAACTTACTTTCCCAAGGTCTGTTGGCTTTACTACTTCCCCTTGATGACGTCCCCACCTCTCCAGTCCTTCTGCCGCTACCTCGGTCCAGGCTACCCTCATCTGTCAAGCCAGCTCTCTGCTGTCTTCATGTTGGACTTTTCTGCTTCTAGACTTCTTCTGTGAGAAGCAGGGCCAGAGTAGAAAGGCAGGCAGTTAGACTGGGGGTGCTGATGAGGACTGGGGCCAAGAAAGTCCAGCCCAACCACAGGGCTACAGTGTGGGAACCTGGAGGTGGTGAGGGAAGCAGGAGAACAAACAGTGAATGCTTCTTAGTCAGGTATTAGGCCTGTAGAAGAAGACACAGGCCCAAGACTGATGGCCCACGAGGAGCAGGCAGACACTGGCAAGACAGAGGCCCCCAGGCATCAGCACGGCCAGGGCAGGAGGTGGGTGGGGAGGCAGAGGCCATGAGGCAGCATGTCACTGTGCACTGCCTTCAAGGTGAGTTCAAACCCCAGCCCTGCCTCTCACCAGCTATGGACACTTGGGCACATCTGTTAGGCTCAGTTTCTCCACCTTAGAATCCATTTGAGGTTGACATTAGCTTTGTGGAATAGAACACCTAAGTATGGTAACTTAAATGAGACAGGGGTTTAGCTTTCTCAAGCAATGAGAAAACCACAGATTTAGCTTGGTAACTCCAGCCATCAGAGCCCAGGAACCTGTGTCCTTCTTTCATGGTTCCAGGGGCAGTCATCATAAACCCATCCCAGAAATGAGGAGGGAGAAATGGCAACAAGTATATGCTAGCTGAGTCCCTCCATTTCCATAAAGACTATTTCCTAAAAGCCCTATCCAATGGTTCTATTTATGTCCCATTGGCCCAAACTATATCATATGGCCATCTAGCCACAAAGACCCTGGGAAATGTAATTCTGTGGCAAAAAAAAAAAACAACAACACAAAACCACTGTTGTCCCCAACAAAATTAGACTTGATCTTAGCCAAAAGGCAGAGAAAAACAATTCCAACAAGGTAAGGATGCTACTCGAGAGGAAGAAGTGGAAAGGCAACACAAAATCAGCAACTAGAAGTCTCTGCCACAGGGGTAAATGGCGCCACTTCCTTTGTCCATGAGGTTGATGTGAGGATGAAATCAGGATGTTTGTGTAAAGCACCTAGCGGGTACTTGTTCAGCAAATGGCAGCAGGTATGCCTGAGTTTGAGGAACTTTTCTAATGACCCCTCTAAGGTCCATCCCCAGAGAAAAGCCTTCATAAGCACTTGCAGCATTGACTTGTCTAAGCCCCACCCAAGGAGAGACCCATCAGTAGAGGCTGATGGGACACAGCCTGAAGCCTTTGTAAAGCCCTGCCTTGGAGGGAGTTGACGCTCTTTACTTGCTTTCTTGATTCAACAGGTGGAGGATGAGGCTCTGGGCCCTGTGCCTAGATGCTATAAGGAGCCAGGTGTTAGTGCAGACACTGCTGATTGTCTGCCCCAATCTACCTGTTTCCTTCTTCCTCTTCTAAAAGCTCTGCTTTTGGCCCCAATTTCATCTGTCCCCCATCCTCCTTCAGCCACAGAGGAGCCAGGCCTGACTGATCTGATCATCATGCTTGTGTTAGTTAGGTCAGGCCAGACACAGTGGCTCACACCTGTCATCTCAGCACTCTGGGAGGCCCAGGCAGGCAGATCACTTGAGATCAGGAGTTTGGGACCAGCCTGGCCAACATGGTGCAGCACCGTCTCTACCAAAAACCACACAAAAATTAGCTGGGCATAGTGGCATGTGCCTGTAATCCCAGCTACTTGGGAGGCTGAGGTCGGAGAATCACTTGAACCCAGAATGCAGAGGTCACGGTGAGCTGAGACTGCGCCACTGCACTCCAGCCTGGGTGGCAGAGTATGACCCTGCCTAAAAAAAAAAAAGATTGAAAATAGTAACAATAATAATTATTATTAGGTCAGACCAGATGCTGTAATGAGACCCCCAAAACCGAGTAGTGTCAGTCTTATCTCTTCTGTTTGGTCCAAAAGCAATCGGCTTTTCCAACACTGTGAATAAGCCTTCAACACCTGGTATCTCCATCTCTCTTTCCACCTCTATTTCCAAATTGATAGCTCTTACCTGATCTTTTATCTTTCCTTAAGGCATAAAAGAATGTGTATTTCCTTCAAGATGAAATTCGGGTAAGACAAATTTAAAAAACAAATGGAAAAAAATGTGTATTTCTTTCCCCCTTAACATCCCTATGTGAAAGTTCTAGATTTGTGGAACGTTCTGTTCCATGAGGTCATTCAGGCACCCAGGTCCCTTTCACCCTGTGGCTGTGTTCTCCCCCAACCCCTAAGATCTGCATGGCTGAAGCTGGTCACCAACATGTATGAGTTCCAGTCAGTGGGAAAGGAGAAGAGAGAACAAGGAAGAGAGTCATTTACTGTCTTAAGACCTCTGTCCCAGGCTAGGCGTGGTGGCTCATGCCTGTAATCCCAGCACTTTGGGAGGCCGAGGTGGGTGGATCACCTGAGGTCAGGAGTTGGAGACCAGCCTGGTCAACATGGTGATACCCCATCTCTACTAAAAATACAAAATTAGCCAGGTGTGGTGGTGCATTCCTGTAATCCCAGCTACTCAGGAGGCTGAAGCAGGAGAATCACTTGAACCCAGGAGGCGGAGATTGCAATGAGCTGAGATGGCACCATTGCACTCCATCCTGGGCAGAAGAGTGAAATTCATCTCAGAAAGAAAGAAAAGAAAAGAAAAGAAAAGAAAAGAAAAGAAAAGAAAAGAAAAGAAAAGAAAAGAAAAGAAAAGAAAAGAAAAGAAAAGAAAAGAAAGGAAGGAAGGAAGGAAGGAAGGAAGGAAGGACCTCTGTCCCCAAAGCAGCATTCATAGCTTCCTTTGGCACCAGCAACAACACAACCACACTAACTGCAAGGAGGCCTGAGAAATACAGTCCCTGCCAGACAGTCACATGTCTAGCTAAGATTTTGTTACTGTAGAAGAGAGGAGAATGGGTTTTGGTGGCAAGGTGGCAGTCTCTGCCACAGTGGTGGCCTCATTTCCATTGCCAGCAATTGATTTCAGCTTGGCATGTGACACAATTGTAGCCAATGAAACATGGGGGAATTCTTCATGCTAAGCCTAATGGGAAAGTCTTTCTCACAGTAAGAGACACAGGAACAGATAGTCTCTTCTCCCCTTGGACAGTATCATGTCAGAATGTGATCTGGAATTGGACATCTGTCTTGTGATCATCATGGGAGCAGGCTGTGGTTAAGGTAGATTAGATATTCTAAAGCTGGCAGTGTAGTTAGATGAAGAGCCCAGGTTCTTGCTGGTACTGCTGCATCTAAGCTGCTACCCCCCGGAGACACCCTCTGGCTGGACTTCCCATGTGTGACATAGTAAATTTCCTTATGGTTTAAGCCAAGGAGTGGGTTTTCTGTTACCTGTAGCCATAAGCCTCCCAGATTTCATGTGACATTGGGCCAGAGCAGAGACTGTGTGGAAGGGTTCTGTGTGGCCCCTGGGAGTCTGATTCAAGGGTGATATGGTTTGGGCCCATGTTTCCACCCAAATCTCAAGTCGAATTGTTATCTCTAATGTTGGAGGTGGGGCCTAGTGGGAGGTGGTTGGATCACGGAGTTGTTTCTCATGAATGGATTAGCACCATCCACTTGGAGCTGTTCTCATGATAGAGACTGAGTTCTTGAGAGATCTGGTTGTTTAAAAGCATGTGGCACCTCCCCCCTCACTCTCTCTCTTGCTACTGCTCCTGCCACACAAAATATGCCTGCTCCCCCTTCACCTTCCACCATGATTGAGGATGCCAGCACCACGCTTCCTGGTCAGCCTGTGGAACCATAGGACAATTACCCCACTTTTCTTTCTTTTTTTTAAGACAGAGTCTCGCTCTGTCACCCAAGCTAGAGTACAATGGCATGATCTTGGCTCACTGCAACCTCCGTCTTCCAAGTTCAAGGGATTCTTCTGCCTCAGCCCACCTAGTAGCTGGGATTACAGGCACCTGCCACTATGCCCAGCTAAGTTTTGTATTTTTAATAGAGACAGGGTTTCACCATATTAGTCAGGCTTGTCTCGAACTTCTGACCTTAGGTCATCTGCTCGCCTTGGCCTCCCAAAGTGATTATAGGCATGAACAACTGCGTCTGGCCCACACCTCTTTTCTTTATAAATTACCTAGTCTCAGGGATTTCTTCCTTTTTTTTATATTTTAGACGGACCTCACTCTTGTTGCCCAGACTGGAGAGCAATAGTGTGATCTCTGCTCACTGCAACCTCCACACCCCCACCCCAGTTCAAGTGATTCTCCTGCCTCAGCCTCCCGAGTAGCTGGGATTACAGGCACGCACCATCATGCCAGGCTAATTTTGTATTTTTAGTAGAGACAGGGTTTCTCCATGTTGGCAGGCTTGTCTCAAACTCCCAACCTCAGGTGATCCACCCACCTCAGTCTCCCAAAGTGCTGAGATTACAGACATGAGCCGCTGTACCCAGCCAGGGATTTCTTTACAGCAATGTGAGAATGGATTAATACAGAGGGCTTGGGCAATAGTCTAAGGTCAAAAGAGCTGGGCTCCCTTGGTGTCATTTTCTATGTTGTCCTGGCTCTGAGGAAACAGGGTGTCTAGAAACAAGGTCCCTCTTGTGCATCTTGAGACACTTTCACATCCATAGCCCATTGTGCAAGAGGCAGATAATATCACCAAGTGACTTCATTTTACAAGGAGGAAAGGAAGGCTGAGAGAGGCAATGTGCTGTGGCCAAGTCCATGAACAGGCTAAGGTTGGGCGTAGGAACTCATCCCTGGTTCTTCTAGACTCCCAGACCCATACTCTTGCTAGTGACACTAGGACGCCTGTACTGAAACAATTGGGAAAAGGTGTCATGTGCCAACCCTATTAAATAAATCTTTATACAAGGCAGGCAATAGCCCTATCAAATAAATCTTTATACAAGGCAGGTCTTCTAGTGGGAAAGCAGAAACAAATAAACACATAGGCAAATGTCTACATTCCCATTACAGTAACTGCAGGAAGGGAAAAGGATGGGGGTGAAGTAGAAACCAATGATGGGGAGGAGATCCAGGAAGGCAACTCTGCAGAAGTGACACTGGAGTGCAGACCCCCAAGGATGATGAGGCAGAAACTGGGCAAAGACGAGGAAGAGGAAAAGTGTGCATAGTCCAGGGAAGGACATGTGCGAAGACCCCAAGGTGAGAGAGTGCTGGGCTCAGTCAGGTAGCTGCGAGTGTGACCAGAGCCACACAAGCAAGAGAGAGGAGGGGTCCAGCCATGGGGGACAAGGTTGAAATGAAATCACAGGCTTTGGAGCTGAACTGCTTGGATTCAAATCCTGACTCTGGTTTATCAGCTGTGTGCCCTTAAACAAAGCATTAACCACTCTGTGATTCAACTTCTTTTCCTTTCCAGTTCCTACCTTATCAGAACTGTGAGGAATGAAAGAGATGAGTCATGTTGAAACACTTGGTACATAGTAATTGCTTTAGCTGCTTGTATTAGGGGTCTTTTTAGGACTGTGGTCATTGTTCCATGAGTAATGGAGAATGCATTATTAGGATTCTATTGGCTGCAAGGGACAGCAACCTAAGTCACATTGCCTTAAGCCATAGCTGGTGGATTGATTGGCTCATATGTCTGAAAGATACAAGCTTAGATGTGTCTTGGCGCACATAGCATTGCCAACTGGACTTGGTCCCTTTCTCTTCACTTTTTGCTGTGTTTTCTCCTGAGATGACTCCGTTTTCAGGCCTGCTGTTCCCACATGGTGGCAGGCTGGCCACTTAGCTTCTATAACCTTGGCTTTTCCCTGGGCCAGTCTTCTGGCTCCCATCTGGCGGCCATCCCTGAGCCAACCACTGTGGCAGCAGAGGGGTGGTATGGAGTGGAAAAGAGAAACTCACACTGATTGAGCAAATCTTCAAAGTCACTGCACTGAGGCTGGAAAAGGAAATTGGGGTATGGTCACCAGCCACAGAGGCAAACACAGCCAGTGCTGAAATGGGCGCTCCTGGGGCTTTCCAACTGGGAAGGGGAAGGGTCTTTTTGTCTTGAGATGATCATGCTGGTTACTGAGCCAAGAAGTGGTAGCAGGAGAAGCAGAGTGGAGGTGGGGAGAGGCACTGGGGACGCATGTTGGGAGTCCAGAAGGGAGGACGATGGTATGGCTGGGCTGATGGCAGTGGGGCAGAGATGGAGCAGGAGGCACAGGGCTAGAGTTTGGTGATAGGCTGGACAGAGGTGGGGACAGGCAGATATTCCAAGGTAAGAGCCGAGGTTTTGGCTGTACACTGAGATGAGGAGACTTGGGGAGTGGCGGGTTGGGAGAGGATGAAGAGGTCAGCTTTGCAGGTGCTGAGTTTGAGGAGCCTTGAGGGTGTGAAATTCCACTCTGGGCATTCTTGTCTGGTTTCTATAAAATATGGGAAAGATAAATAAACTGAATAATGCCTGCTTTGCCCAGTAGAAAGCATTAGAACTAAACTAGAATAAGGGAGGCCTCTGCCAGCCCCACTCAGGAGAGTTGGGACTGGACCAGTGTGCTGAGTGGGGCTGACTCAAACAGCATGCGTCCAGCCCAGACCCCACCTTATGAGTCAGGAGACCTCACAAAATCCCCAGGCAGCTAGGTGGTCAGGGGCAGGTCGCATGGGGTATCCGGGGAATGTTGGTCAAACTGACAGAGTCCCAGGCCCTGGGAACTGCCAACATAGCTGTAGTAACAACATGGAAGATGCCGGGGCAGAGCCAAAATGCAGGGAGAAAAAGTGTGGCCCAGGCAGCTGTGGGCTAGTTCATAGGCAAAGGCAGACAAGGCAGGGCTACTAGAATCTGGGTTGGCTTCTTGGAGACAGAACTGGACTGGCAGCTTCAATATTGCAGGCATGGTCGTAACCTCAGGTGTGGGGTACATGTCCAGATTTGGAGTGACCCCCACCCCCACCCCAAAGCAATTTTCTCTGAAAACCTCCTAAACTAGAGCAAGACACAGGACATCCTGAGGACTAGTCATCCTGAGGACTTCAGGAGAGGGCTCAGGCCCGAGCCTTCCCGAATCACCCAAGGCCCAGTGAACTGCTCCCTCCACATTGCCCCTCAACTTGTCCCCGCCTCTGTGACAGTCCTTCCCTAACTCCCCACGGGGCAGAGGTTTCTTTGCTTGTGCCCCACCCCCAGCCTGTGTCTTCCCCTGAAGGCAATGAGTGCCACCCACATGCAGCATACTGCCACATGGAGGCACTTGGGGTGTGCTGGGGACAGAGGAAATAGACGCCAGGGCAGGCGTCTATAGACGCCTGGGAAAGCACTTCATTGGTGTGGGGGATACATGGGGCCTGAGGGCTCACCTGCCAGCTTCCTTCTCCAAGTCCCAGGAAAGGGGAGTGTGATAAGACCATCAGCCCAGCCTCAGTGAGCCCACTGTGGCCCCAGAGCTGACGGGCCCCAAGCTGGTGAGCGAGCCCAGGAGTCAGTTCCTCATCCATTAGGCCCGTGGCCCAGGCGGCTAATGCCGCGCGGACACTGCTCTCAGGCCTGGTATCCACTTAAGCGTTGTTAATATTTTACACAGCACAGCCAGGGGATCGATGTCTTGTTTATAGCTCAGGGTTTCTGGGCAGTCATTGACGCTTTCAGTGGGAACTGGGAAGATGCTCAGGAGCACCTGGGGAAACAGAGGCAGGGGAGAGGGGTGGATACCAGCCTCAGGACCCCCAAGATGGCCTCCTTTGCATGCTCAGTTCTCTATCTCATCTAACACGTGTCACCCTGTGAAGCTGAGCACATGCAGTTTTAAGCGTGCATTACAGGGGCCATTGGAGCGAGGGCTGGATTGTTGTTCCCACTTTATGAATGAAGAAACTGAGGCTCAGAGTAGTTACGTACTGCTAGGTTCTCACAAGTCACTGATGAAGGCTGAGCCGGCACTAGCTGGGCACAGGCTGAATCTTGCTCAGTACTTAAGTGTGTAAATTACATTGCAGGAGGCTCTTTAACCTGGAGCAGAGCTGTTTTCTCTGGGGATTGTTAGCCTCTCTGCTTAGAACTTTTGCCTTTGGTCAGTGGAGACTCACCACATCCCAATTAACTGGAACTGGAATTAAAAGCTATGCCTTTACTGTTCTTTTAAACTATCGCCAAAAGGCTTAGACATTTAACTATGCATGTGATGCAGTGAGGCTGCACTGCGCAGCCCCTCTCTTGCTTAGCTGAAACAGGCTGGTGTCACAGGAAAGACCCCGCTCCGGACTCCAGCAGGCCTGGCTGTCCCTGTCTCCCTTGTGTAATTCGCCCTCTAGCCTAGTTTCCTCACCTGTAAAATGGAGGAAAAGGAATGCCCACGGGGAGAGCCTTTGAGAATCACACCTTTGAGCCCAAAGGTTTGGCCCACATATGCGCGCTCCAGAGGGCCCTGGCAGACACGCGCCATGGCTCCCACCCCACCCAGGCAGCGAGCTCTGTGCCTGGGACCAAGCACGTGTTCAGTATCCGCTGAATCAATGGCCGAGTGGGTGGTAGAAGCTTCCTAGATGGAAACTGCAGGCCGTGAATCGAAACAGGACTCGCGCTCGGAGCCGGATTTCTCCCTCCGCCAACAGCGGGAAGAATGAGGGGCGGGCCGCTAAGTCGGTCCGGCCGGGATGCTCTCGGTGCGCCGCGCCCGCTGGAGGGCAGCAGAGAGCCAGGTTCCCGCGTTAAGTTCCCGGCCTCGCGGCTCCGAGGACACCCGGCTCCGCCCGGCCACGCCTCGTCTTCTCCTCTTCTTATTCCTTTCCGCGGCTTCCCCTGCTCTGCCAGCTCCCGGCAGGAATAAAGCCACCCACAAACGAGTAAACATGCGCTTGCCCTGCCAGTGGCACTCTGCATCCGCTTAGCTCCTCCCCGCCGCCCGAAGGCAGGCGTCTCCCCCTCTCTGCGGAGCAATAGGCGATGGCGGCTGCGAGTCCGTGACTCGACCAAGGTCACGCAGCAAAGTCAGCGCCCGAGCTCCGTTCCAAGGACGCCAGAGCCAAAGCCCACACTTCCCCTAAATCCCTGAGCGCACGCGGGTTTCCGGAACCGGAGAACTTTGGATACCAACTTCTGCATTTTCAAAGGGGCCAGCCCGGGCGCAGTTTAGCCGCCGGCGGAGGGCCGGGGTTGCGGGAAATGCGCCGGGGCGCAAAGGCTTCCCGGATCCTCCGCCGCCGACTGCGCGCGGGCCGGCGGGGCGGGGCGGGGCGGGGCGGGCCGGCGGGGCGGGGCGGGCAGGGGCGGGGAGGGGCGGGGCGGGGCGGGCAGGGGCGGGGCGGGGCGGGCAGGGGCGGGGCGGGGCGGGGCGGGCAGGGGCGGGGCGGGGCGGGGCGGGCAGGGCGCAGCACCTCCCCGCGAGAGCTCAGCCACCGCCCCCTTCTCTCGGGCTCCCGGCCCCTGCCCAGCTCCTCGGCCCCCATCCTGCGCGTGGGAGAAACCGCCGACCGCTCGGCCTCCGGGGGCTGGTGGAGCAGCGGTGGCGACGGGCCAGACTCTGTCCCGGGCTGGCCCTTGCGGGGCGGGGCGGGGCCCGCTCCGTCAGCCCTTCCCGGGCTGGCGCGGGGGGGGCCGCTGGGACGCTTCCCGGAGTGGCCGCCGAGCCTAGGCCAATGAGCGCGCAGGGAGAGGCGATGGAGGCTGGGGCGGCCGGAGCTCCCGGGACCCCCGCGCCCCCGCGCTCGCGGGACTGGAGAGGGGACGACAGAAGCGCGGCGGCCGCGCGGGGCATGGAGGCGCCGCTGGCCCGCGCTGGCCGCCCGCGCTGTGTTTCGCGCCGCCGCGCCTCGAAGTTTGCCGGCTGACTCGGAAAGTTGCGCTCGAGCTCGGCAGCCGCGTCCAGCCTCCCGCCTGCCCCGCTCGCCGCCGCCACCCTCCGAGGGGCCCCAGCCCCGCCAACCCCGCAGCCCCGCCTGCCGGGGGCATGTGAGCCGTGCGGGCTGCGCGGCCCCCGGCGCCTCTGAGGCAGCGCTCGGACGAGGGGTACGCCCGGGCCGCAGGGCCCCAGGCAGCCCGGCTCGCCATGGGCATCCAGGGCATGGAGCTGTGTGCTATGGCCGTGGTAGTGCTGCTGTTCATCGCCGTCCTCAAGCAGTTCGGCATCCTGGAGCCCATATCCATGGAAGGTAATGCGTGGCCTCCCGCCCCTCCGCCGCCTCCGCGGGAGACCAGCGGTCTGGAGGGAGGGACCAGCACCCGCAAGCCTGGGTGCACTGGTCTGTCGAGGAGCGGCCTGAGCCACCTACCCCTCCCGGCTCCGGAGGGTTGGGCCTGGGACTAAGGAGACGCAGAGGGCCGGGGCTCCTAGGAGCCCCAGAGGGAACGAAGCCGCAGCCCTTGGGCTGGGTGTGAGCGAGGCGCCTGGTGACACCTTGAGCGGACAGCCCCGGCCGTCCTAGGCCTGAAGTTCGAGCGCCCCTGGTGAGGCTTGGGCCACCCTTGTAGCGGGAGGTGGTCCAGAGTGAAGATGACAGGAAGGACCCTCAGCTCAGGGCACCTGGCGGCTGGCGATGGGGAGTGATTTCAGGCCTCTGCCACGTGATGGGGCCTCCTCTTTCGCCCCCCACCCGGTATCCAGTTTCCCCTCCCCAGGCAAGGTTCAAGCCCTTGGGATAAGTAACCAAACCCGCAGGCGCCACATTTCTGTCCCAATAAAATATTAACTGAGGAGGCAGACCCACACTTGGATCAGACACTGATGGCCCCCTGGGCCCCCTGCATAGCACACCTGGCTCTGAAGGGGACCCTGAAGCCAGGGATGTAGCTTTTCCCCTATTCAAAGAGGCTCTGCACCACTGGACCATGGGGAAGGGGCTAGCTCGTCCTGATCTGGTCCCTGCTGCCCTCTCTGAAGATGTGGGCATTCTGCCTGCCCCAGCACTCTGCTGACCTTGCCCGGCTCCAGCTCTCAGTACTGAGACCCAGAGGCCTGGGGATAGGAGAGAGTAAGCCCGACTCTGCCTGGGAGCTGCCCAGCAGCCCCTCCGGCATGGGGATGTGCCCCAAGTTCCTGCGAAGGACTGCTGAGGGCAGGAGGGGGCCAGGAAGCAAAACTTCCCTCCATTCTGCCTTTGGTGTCCAGGGCTGGCTCTTTTCCCAAAGCCCATGGGCACATGCCCCTCAGAAGCCACTGGGCTCTGCCACACCTTCTCTCTTGGTGAGTGTATGAGGCCCAGAGAGTAGTTCAGAGGGGTGCCACCAGGAGCTTTAGATTGCAGATGGGGGAGAAAGTGGCCCAGGCTGGGTCTTCACTTGGCCGGATGTTGGCCCTGGCAGGGGGAATCTGTGCAGGGAACTTCGTGGGAAATACACCTGCTGTGATTGGGGTGGGAGTGTGGAGGGGTGAGCATCCTGTGCTGCTGTGCCTCAGAGGACGGTGCCTCCTGCAGGGCAGCACCATCCCTCATCCCCCTAACCCCCTTTTCTTTCCCCATTAGGAGCCTGGGGTGGGTGTAGGGGGTCGTTGGTGCCCAGGGAAGCCATGATCTCTCCATTGTTCTTCCCTGATCCTTGGGCCCTCCAGTGGCCAGGAGCACCAGCCAGCCTCACTTCACTTCATACCTCAACCTTCCTAGCAGCCGACTGGCCCACAGTCGGTGGCAGTGCAAAGTTTGCCTTTGAGATTTCTGAGGAGGGATTTCTTTGCAAGACAGCAGATGGTTTATGCTACCTGTCAAAAACCCCATTCAGGCTCGCATGAGTCTCCCTTTTCTGGTATACGTGCCCACTCATGCCCCTGGAGTTCTGGGGTCTTCAGGCAGTTGGGGGAGCTCAGAGCCTCAGAGTCAGCCAGGCCTGTGCTGGGATCCTGTCACCTTCATAAACTGGCTGTAAAAATCCCTTAAACCATCTGAGCCTCAGTTCACCATCTATAGAGTGGGGCTGATAAGAAGTCCAGTCCCCAAGGGCTTTGGCAGACTCGAACCAGTCAGTGAGGCTTGCATGGTTAATAATGTGCAGGTTTTGTGAGCAGGGCATATCAAGGATACTAGCAATGAGTATGTGAGTGATACAATAACAGCACTGATTCGTGGTTGCAGCTTTCTCTCACTCAGACACTTCCCACCCCCACCCCCACCCCCACCACACCCCACCCTCATCGGAGGGAGGGCCTCGTGAGTTCCAGATGTTCTGTTGGTGGGGAATGGTGTCAGCCATCCGAGGGCCTGGAAACTCCCATTGGCCAGGCAGATGAGCTATGAGGAGCCCGGGCTGTCCCACCAGCCTGAATGTGGCCACTGAGGGCCAGAAGGGGGCTATGGTCCCAGCTCTGCTCTAAGACTATGCATGCATGTGCAATCAGAGGGCTCTTTGGTCCTCTCTGAGCCTCCGTGGTTCTCATCTGTAATAGACCAGAGTTATGGTGCCCTGGGGATTGTTAGGAACTAATGGATCCGGGTTCTGGGGATGCAGCCTTCTGGAAATACACACAGCAGTCAAAAAGCCTTCCTCTCTGCCCTTGGTCCCCCATCAGTCTCTTTCCCTGGGTGACTTCATGGCGGAGTCACCACCATCACTTTTCCTGAGCTGTAGTAGAGCAGGAAGCTCACCCCTTGATCCATGGGCAAGGGGGCTGAGCCCAGGGTGGTGGCATGGCTGTCCTGCCCACCAGAGCAAATCGGTGGGCAGCAGGGCATGGGCCTGGCTGGAGGCCAAGCCAACCTCAGTGTGACAGGCTCCAGGTGGTAGAAAGGAAGTCCTCACCCTGTCTGCTTAATTAGGATTTCTCCATTCCTGGTGACCTACAGGATATCAGAGATGAAGAAGCTGCCTGCCATCCACAAGCCTCACCACAGCAAGGGTACAGGAGCCTGGAGCTGCTGGAACAGCCCTGAGGGCCATCAGGGGGATCTCATCTTGGCTTTGGGACCTGGACTCTGTGAGGCTGGGCTGGGGTTGGTGCCTGCCCAGCAAGTCCTAGCCCTGAAGGTCCATAAAGCCCCTGAAATTATGGGCAAGATAGCATGTTGGGTGTTTCTTTCTGGAGTGCTGAAATACGGTTCTCAAGGGGGTCTGCTCCCAAAGTGTTCTAAGGCTCAGCCCTGTGGCTCTCCATGGAGCCTTGCTGGTACAGGGTGCTGGTGGGCCCAGGCGGGCAGCATCCCTGATATGCTGGTGACAGAAAGGTCCTCTTTGTCCCTCTGTGGTTCCAGGCTCCTAGCACGTTCCCTGTGGGAACCGAGACTCCCTTATTTTTCTCCACAGCCTTGTCACTCCCTTAAGATACTGGGTATCTCTGTTTATCATCGGTTTTTGGTCTCTCTCCACTGGCTGCAGGCTGCACGAGGGCAGGGACTTTGTCTTGCTCACATTAGCACCGTGTGCCTAGAACAGTGCCTGGCACCAGGGAGCTCGGGAGGATTTGTTAAATTCATGAGGGAACCCGCTGACTAAGAGGAAGAACTGGAGCCTTCTCCTGTCCCTTGTGCCCCAGCCCCTGCCGGCAAGCCTGAGGCCAGGTCCTGTGAGAGCTAGAGCCTGGATGGGCACAGAGCAGGGGGCCCAGAGCAGCAGGGGTGGGGGCTGCTACTGAGAGCACAGAGGCTGAAGGTGGGGTGTGTTCGGTGTCATCAGGAGAAGTGGGTGGAGCTGTGTGAGTGAGGAGCAGTGGCAATGGAGGTGGTGGGCCAGCCTCTACCATGCTGCACATTTTCATCGGAATCATCTAGGAACTTAAAAAAAAAAAAACTGCCGTGCTCTCCCTAGGGCACTGAACCCTAAATCTCTGTGTGGAACCCAGGCAATTGGATTTTTAGGAGTTTCTTGGGGGACTCTCTGCCCTGGGTCCCCCATCAGTTTCTTTCTCTGGGTGACTTCATGGGGAAGTCACTGCAGCCACTCCTCCTGAGCAGTGTTCAGTGTCATCAGGGGTAAGTGAACTCTGAAGCCAGAGTTGGGAGCTCAGGCGCAAGGCCTTCGAGAATGGGGGCTTTCAACATGTGCTCTGGGTCAACAGCAGCAGCAGCCCCGGGGAGCTTGGTAGAAATGTGCATCTGCAGGCCCCTACCCTAAACCTGTGGGCTCAGAAAGTCTGCACTCGGGCCCAGCGGCTTCTGTCTTCCCCAGCTCCAGGTGTGCTGGGGACATACTCAAGCCTGGCCGGGGTGGACTTCTGCAAGGACGTTGGCTTTTACTGTCAGACTAACTCAGAGCCATTGGAGGATTCTGAGCAGAGGAGTGAAGTGGCTTTGCATT